GTTAATTGGAATCAGAAAGGAGGAGGGCGTCCTGGGAGCCCACCTCAGGGGCCAATCGAAGGCCTAGAAAGCCCTGTATGCAAATATGAGGGCCGGGCGGACCCCAAAGTAGGAAGAGCGGGGCTGGGGTTAGGGGTTGTCTGGCAGCCAATGGGAGCGCGTCTCAACCCTTCCAGGTGAGGGTCCGCAGGCGTGCTGCCGAGCGACCGGGGCCGCGGAGCCGGGGCGAGACGGGGCGCTGGGGATCGTCGGTAAGAGCTCCCCAAGGCCAGGTGCTGGCCCCAGATCGCGGCCGCCTAGTGCCTCCCCGCTGGAAACCTGGTTCTACGCGCCCCCGATGTCCCCCCCGGGGCTCAGCTCCCCAAGGCTATTCCTCGGCCCGCCCCGCTAGCGTTCTACGACGGCCAAAGTCGCTTACCCTCCGGGTGCCTGCGCCCCCTCGGCTCCCTAGTCTTTCTCTTCTCAGCCATCTCAGCACCGCTCGCTCTCTTCCCCCCCCATGCTCGAGCTTACCCGCTAAAATCCCCTCATTCCCTTTTCTCATCCCCAAGAGTCTGATGCCAGGACCTCGCCCACACACCGACCCTCTTTTCCCAGCTCCATACGCCCTCCTGTCCTTGCGTATCTCTCGGGGGCACCCTCACTTGCTGCCCTCCCTCGATTTCCCTAAGCCTGGTGCCCCCAGGGAGCTGTCCCTTAGATACCAGAGGTCCCTGAGAATCGCGCACTCCCTCGGCCTCCTCTTGCCCCATCGTTACATCCTTCCCTTGATCACCTTTCTTCCTTTTTCTGGAGACACCTTCCAGAAAGACACTTGGGTTTTTCAGGGCCTGTACAGCCCTCTGCAAATGCTCCCACCCCCGCCCCCCCTCTTTTTCTCTCGACTCCAGTTGTTATTCCTCACCCTCCTGAAGGAAGATTCTTCTAGGCTTGAGGGAAGTTCTCTGTTGGGATTTGAATCCTAGGAAAAATGTAACATATATGGGGATGAGTGGGAAGGGAGCTAACACTTACTAAACACTGGTATATAGCAGGCACTTTTAATATGTATACCAGTCCTATCATCATATTTTCACTTTACAATATAGTCCTTATTTTGAACCAAGCACTGATTTAAGAAATACTAACTTATTTAATCTTTTTAAAAAATTATGTAGCATTCTGCAAACAACACTTTACATGACTTTTATTTATTTATTTTTAAATATATCTTTATTGATTTCAGAGAGAGGAAAGGAGAAGGAGAGAGAGATAGAAACAGCAATGATGGGAGAGTCACTGATCGGCTGCCTCCTGCACGCCCCTGACTGGGGATCGGACCCAGTAAGACACAGTAGGAGAGCTCTTCAGTGCCATATCTATTTCTGCAGACTGAAAGAAAAGTCTGGGCTATGAAGATCAGGATGAAAAGACTTGGCTAATACTTGAAACATGTTCCCCTATTGTTCTTAATCAAATGATTAAGACACTATTAATTCAGCTTTGCAAAAGAAAGCATGAAACATTTTCTACCCTTTTGCACCACCTCTAGGGGCTAGAAGAGTGGTCAACAAGTATAGTTCAGAAAGAACCTGCGATGTGTTTGCATGGAGCCGTCCCAGTGCTCATTTCCTCCCCCTGGTGGCCAATGAAGGTCATTTTCATGCAGTCTAACCAGGCTTTGGTTGGCAGCCTCTGGCTTGGAAGATCCCAAGCTCAAATCCCATTCTAAAATAGAAGAAAACATCAGGGATTTTTCACTGCCTCAACTATCCTATTTAGAAAGGTGAACCGAACATGTCTTGTGTCATTAATAAAAATTGAAGATGGTATTTACTGTGCTTGCTACATTGGTAGCCCAACATAGGCTTTCTGAACTCCCCAAAGTATTTTGTCCACTTGCCTGTCCACTAACCTTGCATAATGGAAAGATATGTAGAGGGGCAGGAAGCCAGGGCTTCAGTCCTGGCTCCACTGACTTGCTCTCTGGCTTTGTGCAGGTCAAACCTCCTCTAAAAATCAAATGGGTTGAACTAGACACCCTCCAATGTCCCTCCCAGCTGTAGTATTCAGGGATTCCATAAGAGCTTAGGAAATGTTCTAGTTACACCCCAAATAAGAATCCTGATACAATGTTGACATTGGTAAAAAGAAAGGAAAGAAACAGTGAAAATAAATACAAAGTAGAAATAGTAGAGCTGTTCCCAGGTTATGGCAAATTGTTGGAGGTGGGAATTTAGAAGCAGTTCATTGGCTTTAAAGAAAACAATGTGGGACCAACTGATTCTTGAGGGGTAGAAGTCACCAAGACTGCTTCTAAGAGCTAGGTGATCAGTTACTTCACTTTATGGTTGTACCACTTATGGGCGACCATCAGAGAGGGAAAGGTAGTGGGTAGAGTGTGGAGGAAAAACAGCCCATGGGGTCAGACAAACCTGGCTTCCGCCTCTTACCTCACTCTCTCCATGCCTTAGTCTTCTCATCTGTAATAGATTGAAAATAATATCTATGATATGAGTTATGAGGATGAGACAGTTTGTATACAAAATGCTTTCCTATAATGCCTACTACTTGGTAAGTAGGTTGTAAACAGTAGCTACTGTTACAAATGAATGAAACTAAGTGTTTTAAGTGCTCACTATATGAAAGGACCCAAGGTTCATCATTTTAAAAAATGTTATTTATTTAATGCTCACAGCAGCACTTCTATTACATAGATGAGGAAAATGAACCTCAGAAAGGCAAAGTTAGTTCATGCATTTATTTATTCTTCTAGTTCATTCATTCAAGAAGCATATGAACCTCTGCTATGTGCCAGACACTGTGGTAGGAGCTGAGAATTCACAGACCTGGCCTGTCCCATCGGGGAGGTCAGTCCAGGGCCTCACAGCTGATAATGATAGATAGTGTTTAGTGAGCACGTACTATGTGCCAGGCACTGTTCTAAGCACATTGTATTGCCTCAAATGAATTAACTCATTGAATTCCCATAACTGGGACAAACAGCTTGACAGATGAAGAAACTAAGACAGAGGGATGTTAAGTAAATTGCCTGAGGTCACACAACTAGGAAGCAGCAAAGCTGAGATTTAAATCCAGACAGACTCCAGAAGCTGAGTTCTTAGCAAGTGATTTAAAGTCGCATCTCTGACTGCAGAGGCCCTTAGATCAGGATGCATGTATGTCTCAGGATGCAAGTCACAGCCCCCTCACACTTTACATTTTCTTTAGGCTTTGCCCTTTGAATCTATTACCTCACCTTCTTTGACTCCTCAAGGCTAAAGATTCCTTTTGACCTTATCGGAAGGCTGGAGAGAAAGTGGGACCCCCCAGATTAGAGGGAGTAGGTAGTTGCTGAGGCTGAGAAAGAAAACCTGATAGTCAAATAAGACCAGCATCTGAACAGACTGAGAGGGTTCTGGCTTCAAGATCTAATTCTTGTTCTGAAAATAAGGGCATTAGAATGCTTTTGGTCCAGCCCTGGAGGGAGCAGCTTTTGTTCTAAATCCAGATGTGTACTGGGCCAGGCACATAGCCTAAATGAGAGAAATAACCTGAGTATTCTAAAATGTTTCCTCTCTCTTAATTCTACTGTAAGGAAAACAATAGCACAAAGGCAATTGTTACTTGGCTCCTGCATTAGAGAGACAATAGGGAATGTTAGGGACTGGGGCAGACTTGGAAAATGTCTGAAGAGGAAGCCACTCCTCTGCTCTGGTTGATTGCTGACATGATGCAATGGGGACCTATTTTCTGAAAGGAATGGAAATCTGGATTTTTATGGGGAAAAACTCTACATTTTCTAGTTACTGGTAACCACTATTTAACAACTATAACAACAACGACACACTATTGTGAGCCGAGTAAATGTTTTTGCAGGCTAGATTCAGGATGCAAGCCCCAGTAGGCAACCTCTGAGCGAGACAAAACTAAAACAGTCACATGTGGCAATGACTGTTGTCTGCCTGCTTGCACCTGTCTCAGGTGCCATCGAAGTGGCTCGGGGGAGGGTAGGAAGAATGACACAGTGAACTAGTTCCTTTAAAAGTACACGGGCCCAGTTTCTTGCTATATGTGCCCGAGGCTCTCCCTTGCAAGAATAAACAGAATTTGACTGTTTTTTGTTTTGTTTTTAGTTCTTTGAGGCAGACAAATATAAGTAATGGCTTGTTCTTACTACTTGGGCAAGGATATGAAAAAAGCAAAGACAACTCACAACTCCAGATGCCAAATTCAGGGTCAGTTTTCTCTCCTCAAGTTAACATTAACCTTTAGGTAAACGGGGCCACTCCTCCCCAAGGGCTGGGTAAACAGGAGCCGTTGTGAAGGGGCTGGGGCAGTGGAGCTGGTGGTTTACCTGGGAGGAAGGGAGCAGCCCAAGGTCAAGATTTCATGTACCTTAGCCCTCTTGAACTTTGTCAAGAATGTGCCTGTTCACTGGGAAAAAGCGACTCTCAAGGCCCAGGTTTCATCGGTTAGTTGCACTGAGCACAACTCTTTCTCCCCCTGCTCAGGTGTCACCATAAAGGGACTTGGGTATAAGTTTCTCTCCCTCTTCAGCAAGAGAGAGAAACAAGTGACAATCCGTGGCCGACTTCATAATTCTACCTCCCTCTTGCGGGTGACTGTGAGCATTCAGTGAGATGGTGTATGTGGCAATTATTTGAAAAGCCCACATACAGTTTATTATTAAATTATTCATAGGTTAGAGCCACCCCCACCCCCCCTCCAATTTTGGTTTGGGAAAGGGGCAGAGAGAGGTTGAAAGGTGTAGTGATGTTAAAAACATGGCTGTGAGGTATAAAAATTGCCTAGAATTATCAAGTCTGCGTACAGAGGAGAGGTGATTCCCGAGAGACTGTGTGACTCTGGTGAGCCCGCTATAATCGCGTATTGCTGGCTGTAGTCCAAAGTGTTGGAATCCCTCTGGGAAACAACATGGTGATATAAAGAAATAAATACATAACACACACAAGCTACAGAATTTTTATATTCTTTAACCTAGTAATCCTGGTTGTGTTATGTATCTTAAGAAAATAATCCTAAAGAAGTAAAAGGCCTTCTGTACATGAAAGTGTGCATTTTAGAGCTAGTTATATGATAATAAAATTGGGAGCAACTTACATTGTTAACAATAGTGCAATGGTTGGTTAAATCCAGACACATTCCTTCAATGGGGTATTATTACACACCATTAAAAATTAGAAATATGTAAGCTTGGTCACAACTGAAAGGGTGTTGATATGATATTAAGTGGGCAAAAAGCAGGTACAAAATTCTTTACATGTTATGGTTACAATTATATAAGAATAATTGTGCTTAGACATTAAGAATAAAAGAGAATACATTAAAGGACCAGCGTTGCCATGTTAGGGTAGAAAAGCTAAAGGTGATTTCTCACTCTACCCTTTCCTAAACTTTCTTTAATGTTGTAGTATTTCAAGAAGAGTAATAATAAATTAGAATAAAGATATTATTAATATATTTTTTAAAAGCCGAAGAGTTTGTGAAGGAAAACCAGGTAGTGAGTAGCAAGAGGACTGCAGGCATTAAGAAGGACTGAAATGGTGAGGATGTTGGCAGGGTTTTGGAGGTGAGGAGGGGCACAAAGAATACCAGAAAATAGGCTTGATGGTCATAGAAATCTTGGATGTGAAGGGGATATTAAGTCAGTTAATTGCGCCTGGGCAGTTCTGGGTTCCCCAGAGGCAAACTAAGCACATTCCTAAGGATTAGTGAAGCAGGGGTATTAAAAACCATTTTTAAAACAACTTGATATTTGAAGTTCAGGCAAACATTAAAGAAGTCATGATGGGCAGTTGAGCACTGACCTAGGATCCAGGAGATCGCGGTTCAGTTCCCAGTCAGGGCACAGGCCCTGGTTGTGGGCTCGATCTCCAGTAGGGAGCGTGCGGGAGGCAGCCGATCAATGACTTTTTCATCATTGATGTTTCTCTCTCTCCCTCTCCCTTCCTCTCTCTGAGATCAATAAAGATTTAAAAAAAAAAGTCATCATGGGGATGGAGGAATGAAAACTCTGTTGGACTTCCTCATAGGTATTTTACAATTGTTCTTGTTTTCACTTTGAATGGGATGGTTGGGGAGACACTATAGCCTCTTCTGGGGTTGGGGGTCTCTGAAGCTCTGCATTAGGCGCTGGGCTTGAATCTTGTTTAATCAGCTGCAAATCAGTCCCGCACTCCATGAGCACCAGCTGCTTTCACGCTCAGGCCTGCAGGCTGCGTGCGCGAGGCTTCGTGCAGTGCCAAAACAGTTAACAGACCTCCTCAGCACCTCACCTGCACCCATGGGAGTGACTCCCTCAGCTAGGAGGCTCAGGCCTTGGTTCTGAGGCTGTCTCCAGACACTCGCTCACTTCAATAATAAGATTGTTTACCAGGTGGTGCCATGCAGGGCATCTCAGCCTGCTCCCGAAAACCCCAGGAGGGAAAAACCAAGGCCAGGGTTGGCTGAGTGAGTCCCTCAGGTCATAGTCGGTGGCAAAAGGTGGAATCAGCTCCCTCCTGGAGCCTTGCACCAACCGTGGAGGTGTGGTGGCATTTTATAAACTGCAGCGTGTGGCTTGGTCTCAGCGTGCTGGGGGACCACCCCCAGGAGCAAGGGAGGGGGTCCCCCTGCAGGTGGATCCAAGTAATTGCCTATTTCTCTGCCCTCTTTCCAGGGGCGGGGGCCAGTATTTCCCCAGAGTCTCCTTCCAGTCCCCAGAGATGCTCCAGCGTCAGCCTTTGGAAGACAAGGAAGGGACAGAGTCAGGGGAGAGGGAGGACAGTTCCATAGCAGACCTGAAAGAAATCGTCACCCTGGCTTTTGTGCGAGAGAACACTGGGCCTCCAAAGGGGCTCCAGAATGCCCAACGGCAAGGCAAGAAGAAGAGGAAGAAAAAGAGGTTAGGATCGAAAGGGGGGGAATGGGGATCCGCAGCGGTAAGAGCAGGGGGGGCCCGGGAGGAGGGGAGCCCCGGCTGCTAACGCCTGGGGACAGGAGAAACCCCTGAGGCTGAAAATCACACCACTTCCGGTTCGTATAAAAAGAACCCGCTTTTGATGATCTGTTTTGTAGAATGAAAGAAAGAATGGTGCGTGTAATCTAACACCGCACCTTGCCCTGATCTTCATTCCGCTTGTGTTCAGACTGTTTTCTTTTTAAGGAGTTGTGTGTGTGGTGGGTTGGGTTTCATGCAGCCCCCGGGGCCAGCATGCTCCTGAGCGCAGGCCCTTGTTCTGCCAAGTGTGTCTGTCTCTGTCTTGCTGCTTTTCTGCTTCTCTTTTCCAGATGATTGGTGATCAATCTATCCAGCTGCCGATACGAAAGTGGTGAGCATCTGCAATCAAGGAATTCGTAATGGGGACCCAGTGGATTCCCCCAAAGAGTTGGGGAGGGTCACTCTTATGTGTTCTTGAGGATGGAAAGGATTGTCTCCAAATCCTGTTCTTTGCTTCTCTCAGCTCATTTAACTAGTTGAGGAAGTCGGGAAGCTCATTCCAAGAAAATGTGGGTTTGACCGCAATGGTGTGTACTTCAACTGCCTATCGTTCTCGTGTGTGGTGATTAGGGGACCTCATTGTAGAGAAGGCGGCTGCTGCTATAGTCAGTGGCTCTTTTTTAGAGCATAACTTCCAAACTGGCAGTCCCTGACCCGCAGACAACCTGCAGACCTACTTTGTGCTACAGAGCAGAGTGTCGTCCTTATTTTAATTTCAGATCTGTATGCTTTGGGCTGGTCCTGACTCTCTTGGTCACTGCAGGCGCTTCTTTTCCAGGCCCTTAAAGGCATCTGAGTTTGTGTTGGAATCAGCTCCCAGTTATCAATATTAATAGGGACAGGGGAAGAAGGATATGAGTATATATGTGGTTTTGAAAGACATTGTATAATTTTTTTCTGTCAATTTACCTTACTAATTAAGCTTGGCTCTGGCTGATGTTAGGGATTTAGGTTTAAATTCCCTGAACATTCAGTGCTTCGTGTTTGGGAGAAAGCCAGAGGCCTACTTCCTGGCAAGGGGGAGCCAGGGTGGGTAAGACGTTCATCCCAGATAACCTTCTGTGGGGATTATGGGGCATAGGCTCTATTCCTTAATAGCTTTCACCTCTTTGCGTTCCTTCCTCGGCAATGATGTGTCCAGGCAGGGCATGGTGGCTTCAGTCCCAAGGAGCCGAGATGTCTCGCTTCAGTGCTTGGCCTGGGAGCACCTAGAATGGAGCCTCCCCACTTTATGCTCCTCCCTCACTCCCCAGGCTAATAGGCCTTTCTTTCTCCAACCCATGGCAGTGCGTAGGGCCGCCCAACAGTATGGCCTTCGAGAGGGAGGGGAAAATGACGACTGGACTCTCTACTGGACTGACTACTCAGTGTCGCTGGAGCGGGTGATGGAAATGAAAAGTTACCAGGTATCTGGGTCAGAGCATAAGTGTGGCATCTATCCTGTGGGGACCCCACTGTCCCCCAAGGGGATCTCATGGGTACTCCCATGTCCCCCATTGTTCATGAATTCTGGCTTCCTTTGCAGAAAATCAATCACTTCCCAGGGATGAGTGAAATATGCCGCAAGGACATGCTGGCCAGGAATATGAACCGCATGTTGAAGTTGTTCCCTAAAGATTTCCACTTTTTCCCCCGGACCTGGTGTCTTCCTGCTGAGTGAGTGCTGACCTGTGCTCCCTTCGCCACTCCCCACCCCAATTCCATTTCCCATAGGATCTCCCACCTCTCTCTTCTATTCAGGAAGATAAGGGATATAGGGTGTGGCCAAGGCTGCGAAAACACCAGGCTCTGTCCATAAAATTAGATGACATTTAGGGCTGGGTGCCTTGGAGCCTGTGCCTGCTGCTGGGATGAGAATTTGTTCCGACCTTGAAAGCTGTTGATTTTGAACTTGTTCCAACCTTTTAACTGCAGTTTCTGAATTTCTAAGGACCATGAGCACTTCTGCAGGGAGTGAGGTAATGGTTAATGCCCAGGTTAGGAGCAGGGAGGAATGCCTGACCTCTGTCCTATGGCAGTGCCATGGATGGCGGTCAGCCTTTTCCCATCTCTGGTCTCATTTTACCCATCTTGAAACTGGACATCCATTCCTGGTACATAATATACTCTGGACCACACCACAAAGAAACAGGGGAAATGTGAGATAACATGAACATGACCTGGATACAGTCTGGTGTTTGAGATGAGGTGGAGGGGGCAGAGAGTCAACATCAGAATGATTCTTACATGGCAAGGGCCTGAGAGAAATCCCACGTTCCCCCCTTTGTCCAATGCTTTCCCAATCCCAGAGCTCCGGGGTTCCCAGACTTTCCTTGCTTGTGTGGAAAAACCTAGCAGTAGCTTAGAAGGAAATGTGTTTGCCATCAGGTCAACAGGTACCTCTGGATTTCATAGCCATTGAGGACCTTTGAGTTAAGTGACTTCTCCAGTGGTCAGGAGACTCCTTTGAGTTAAGATGCAAAACAAGAAATATAGCAAGACTGAGATCTATAGTCCATTGTTTCTTTTTTTCTTCTGAACATACGTTCTTCAAAGTATGTTCAAAGATAGCATTTGCTGTCTCACACTCCGGCTGGAGTGGAGATGTTATAGAGGAAAAGCTGAGTCCAGAGTGGGACAAGAGGCTGATTGATCCGGGGTCACGTCACTGGGCTCGAGCCAGATTCAGAACTCCAAATCTCCGATCTGCAAACCCAGAGAATCAAACTCCTTGGTTATGGCTAACTTTAGGGGGTGGACAGCATGTACCAGCGCCCTGCCTGCATTGTCATGTGCAAGACAGGCGTCATGATCATTGTGTAGATGATGGAAGTGAGGCTTACAGAGGTCAAGTCCTGGCAAAGGGTTACACTGCGAAGTGGTGTTGCCTGGGTTTAAATCCAGGCCTGAATTTCCTCCAAAGCCCATCTTCTCCCCACTGTGGGTGCTTTACTGGCTCTTCTATGGCCAGACCTCTGGGCATCTGTCTGTCAGCTCCAAGGCTTTTGTCACATTAAATAGTATTTTTTGTTGTTTATTTTTTTTAAATCAAGAGCTAGTCTTCCTTAATTTTGCTCCCCAGTGAAAAGTGTATCTCGTTTCCTCCCTGTTCTGGTAGCTGGGGAGATTTGCAGAACTACAGCAGGTCAAGAAAAAATAAGACATATATTTGTAAGCCAGATTCAGGCTGCCAAGGGAGAGGCATATTCATCACCCGGACGGTGAAAGAAATCAAGCCAGGGGAGGACATGATCTGTCAGCTCTATATTTCAAAGGTACCTCTTCATTGTGATTATTTATTTATCCCTACAGCAACCTCAGGCGGCAGCTCCACTGGACCAAATGTGAAATGAGGGAATGGAGGGCAGGGGTGGGGGTGAAGCCGAGTCCTGTCTTCTGCCTTGGACTTTGTCAGACCAAGCCTTCTGACCAGGGATGTGACTTGTGCCTGGACCAGAGCGTCCCTCACCTTTGCTCCCCTGTCCGTTGGTCTGGCTCTACCGGGCTGGTCCCTTGCCTCTGGGACCAGCCCGGGAGAGCACCTCTGGTCTCTGGAGGCCCCAGCTCACTGAGGAGAGGAGAGTAGCCTGGAGAGAGAATGGTAACCAGCTTTACTCCATGACTGGAGGGCAGAGGTCACAGCGGGCAGCCCACAGCAGGAAGGGCGGCGTGCACGGAGGGGAAGGCACCTGCCAGCGTTGCAGGTCCCCATTGCAGGGAGAACTCTTGCAGAACTGTAACAGTAACATAGTCCTGGATGGTAACAACATGTTCTTTGTCACAGGACTTTTTGTCATTTTGTTTAGTAAACAGGAGTTCCCTTGGAGCTGGTTACTCATGCCACTTGACAGAATAAGAAACTTAGGCACTGTGTGGTTCAGTGACTTCCAAAAGGTCATGTGGCGGGGTCACAGGGCCCCAATCCCCTTCTCCCGGTCCCCAGCCCTGGCCAAGTCTATACTCTGTAACAAGAGGCAATGTTGGAGCTGACACCACAAACACTAGGTGGGGCACTAATGACCTTCAGGCCTGAATTTCTCCTCCGATGCTTGTGTAACTTCTGTTCTTTCCTCCAGCCCTTTATCATTGATGGGTTCAAGTTTGATCTACGGATTTATGTGCTGATCACATCCTGTGACCCCCTCAGGGTTTTTATGTATAATGAAGGACTGGCCCGCTTTGCCACAACCTCTTATTCCCACCCTTGCACAGACAACCTGGTGAGCTCAGGGGACATGCTCCTTACCCTCCTCCCTTAGCGTGATTAGAAAACCCTAGTTAGCCTGGCTGGGCGTGGCTCAGCAGTTGAGCATTGATCTATGATCCAAGAGACTGAGGCTTGATTCCCACTTAGGGCACATGCTTGGGTTGAGGGCTCGATTCCCAGTCGGGGTTTTGCAGGAGGAAGCGATCAATGATGACTCTCTCATCATTGATGTTTCTATCTCTCCCTCTCCCTTCTTTCTCTGAAATCAATAAAGATATATTTAAAAAACCCCACCAAACCCCTAGTTAAATCCACATTCAAAAACACTGTGGATTTGGCTGTCATTTGCAGAACATTTACCATGTGCTGAGTCACATACATTCTTTTCTTGAGCCTTCCCAGGAGCCCTCAGAAATGGGGCTTATCACCTCCCTTTTACAGAGAGGAAATGAAAACCCAGAGAGTATAAGGACTTGTCCAAGTCACAGCACTAGGAAGAAGTCAGGCTGGGACTCAAGGCCAGGTCTGCCTGACTGCAAATCCGGTGCCACGGTCCCACAGCCCTGGAGTGTCCCTCAGGCAGGGCACCACCCAATCTCAGGAGCAATTGGAGTTTCTTATACTCCAGGCTGTAGGATCCCCCCTCTCACTTCCTCTGTTTTGCCAGTTGAAGTGAGCCCTAAGACTTCCTCTTTCTTCTCTGTCCTTTTAAGCCCCAGGGGCCATGGGAGGAAGTGGGAGCCTGCCCTTCCTCTGACCCCACAGACTGGTGTCTCTTCCCCCAGGATGATATCTGCATGCACCTGACTAATTATTCCATTAATAAGCACAGTTCCAATTTCATTCAAGATGCACACTCCGGCAGCAAGAGGTAAGCAAGCGGCCTCACTTCTCTTTTCTTTCCCTGCCAATCTCAGAGCTGCTCTCTGGGATTCTACCTAAACCCTGTCAGTCCCCATCAGTGTTTCCATCCTGGGTCACATGCTCTGAGAAAATATTTCTTGGCCTCTAAACCCAGAACAGACTCCTTAGTCTCTGCCCTCCGGCTGTTAATCATTAAAAGGAGGCCACATCATAAACCCTAGGAGGATGGGAGGAGGAGAGATAAACATGAACTGTTTCCCCAGCAGGGTACACACACACACACCCCAAAGCATACTCCTGTTACAGTTGGCCCTTCTGACATTTCCAAACCAACAGATATTTACTGATTGCTGGTCTGCCTCGGGAAAGGGAAGGGCCAGGCAGTTGTTCCTAAGGCTGTGGTTTCCTAGGGTGTTGCTCCAACAGAGATTCTCAACTGATGTGTCAGGATGCCTGGTGTGACCTGCCATGTGGCTAGCTGGCTTTAAGATTCCCCAGAAGAAGGGGAAAGATGAGAAGAATGCATGAGCATCTCCCCAAGCAGCTTTAATATGCATGCTATCGTCTAAGCCTGTCTCATTTGAGTTTCAAGATAAAGGGGGGGTTGAAGAATGTGAACATGACCAGGCAAAGGGGAAAGAAAAAGAAAGTATGTGTGGAGGCCTCTTGTGTGTTAGGGGCCTGAGCTGGGTGTTTTGTGGGCATTTTTTTTTCCATTAAAATTTTACAACGCTATGGCAGAGGCATTATAATTTACCTTTTGTAGGTGGAGAACTATGAGTTAGGTGCCACCTCCATTTTACAGATGAGGAAACCAAGTCTCTGAGAGGTTAAGTAAGTTGCCCAAGGTCACACAGTTCTAAATGCTGCAGCAGGACAGGAAGGTAGGTCTGTCAGACTCCAAGGCACGTTCTCCTTCTCCTGCGCCAGATTGAAAGGACTGATAAACAGGCAACCTGTTTGGCTTCAGAGCACCAGAGAGGCGAGGTGCACGGGGAAATTTCACCACGGCCTCGGTGGCAGAGTTCCAAAGAGCAAATGGAAAATCACTAGGTTCAGCCTGCCTGAAGGGGACGTGTCGGGCTGGCTGGGGGCGAGCTCCCTTTCTCAGGAGGCACCAGCCACCTGTCTTGCCTGAAGCCCTCCCACCTCATTTCCGCCTGGACTGTGGGCACCGGCTGAGCCTCCTGCGCTGCTGCGTGTGGAGCGCTGCTGCTCCGAGCCCTGGCTGCCAGTCCCACTCTGACTCTCACCGGTTGAGTCACCTTGGGCAAGTCCCTTCATTTCTCTGAGCCTCCATTTTTTGGTCTTTAAAATGAGAGTGATAAGACTCCGTTCCTGATATTCCATGCCCTGCCCACCTCCTAGGGACACTGTGAAACTCAGAGGACCTATGATAGCCACACGGACAGCGCTCATGGTTAATGTTATTTTTTCTTAGTGTAAGGGCGTGTGATCGAAGGGCCCTCGTTTCCCTCCTCTTATGCGGCTTCCTGTTGCCTCCAACTCAGCATTCCCCAACATGGGGGTGTCCTCCCTCCTTGCGTCCACCCCAGCATGCCAAACTGCTTCCGCTGCCCACTTTCCCATCTCTACCTCCTAACTTTCAGGGTTAGAATTTGGTGTCATCTTGGATGTTTCCTTTTCCAGCGAGTCATTGAATCCTGCACGTTTCTCCTTCAAATGTCCCTGTGCCCCTTCCTTTCCACCAGGCCCAGACCTCGCTTCTGCCTCAGACCCAAGGGCTGCACTGACCTCTTTGCTCTTTTCCTTAGCTCCGGGCACCTCTGCTGACCCTCTCTGTGCTCCCGTTTTCTCATCATAAAACGACATAATAAAAAAAAGAATGCTGGCTGGCCAGCCTCACAGACACGCCATAAGGACGCATGCATGGGCTTCAAAAGCAATGAGCCCCATGCAAGCGGGTGCTGTTGTTATACATTCCACACGCTCGCTCCTTCCCATCTCAGAAACCAGTGTGGCTCCCAGGTGCCTAGAGCCAAACTCCTCTGCTCAATATGCTGTAACTTGACCAGGCCCCACTATCCACTATTATTACTATTGCACTAACAGTCAGCATCTTTTTTTTTTTTGAGCCCTTGCTATATGCCAGGCACTGCTCTAAGACATTTGCATACCTCAACCCAGTTCATCCTCACAAAACACTGTGTTATTATCGCCCTGATTTTACATATTAAGAAACAGGTGTAAAAAGTAAAGTAACTTGCACAAGGTGGTGCATTAGGAAGTGGCAGAGCTGGAATTAAACCTTCCAAGGCCAGACCTTAACCACTAGGACCACTGCCTGTGCTGTTTGATCATGCTGTTCTACCGGGATGTTCTTTTGCTCACATTTGCTGTACAGGCCTTGCTCATTCCCACCTCTCTGCCTTTGCTCGGCTCCAACGGCAAACATGGGAGAACATTCTTGAAGGCCCTTCTGTTTCACTAAGCTTCCCTGTTGCCTTCTCTGGCGGGTTCTGGGTTCTGGTCCAGCCACATAACCACTGTAGTGTGGGTGAAACCCATCTTCTCTGTGGGCATCTGTTTTCCTACTTGTCAGGTGAGAGGATTGGGTTCCATCTCTAAGGACGGGCCTGTGAAATCTGAGTGTAACCACCCATAGTGACCTTTCCATCTCTGGACTCCCACCACCCTTATTGTCAACATCAGCTGGAGCCTGTAACTGCTCTTTGCTTGGTACACATGTTTGTCTTATGTCCCCAGTTGTACTGAAGCTCCTTGAGGGTGAGGTTGGTGCCCTGGCCTTCTGGGTACTTCCCATGTTGCCAGGTAGAGTCCTCCCTTCTCTCCTTCCCTTTTCCTTTCACCTTTTTCCTTCCTCTTCATCTTTTGAGACAATCTGCTTTTCATACTGATTATCTCCCAGTTCCTCCTTCCCCAGCTTGAGGCCAACTGTGCCCTCAGTCAGTTCCCCACCAGGCTGGAAACTCAGTAGGAGCAGTGAAGAGAAGTCAGAAAACCTGGAAACCTGGCAGGCCTCGGGGCAGAGACCAGGTCCTCTTCATCTTTCAGGGTGCCTGGCACATAGCTGGTGTGTTAAATTGAGTGGACTAATTCATTGCGATGTGCCTGAGTCATCCAGAAGAGATTGTGTTATGATTTGTAATGTATTATTACAAGAGGGCAAGAAAGTGTATAATCTATTTTGGGAAAATTTATTTCCCAATTTGGCAAATTAAATACAGTTTTGCACTTGAAAGGATTGGCCTCAAGCTGTCTGGACAGTTTGTTTATGGGTAACACTCCTTTCCCTGACAATGGCAGATAGAAGATATGGGCCTCTGTATTGAGTGGGTTTTGCTTACCTGTCTTTATATAAATGCATCCTTGGTTGTTTCATGTGTGTTGACTCCCCAAATGGTCCTTTGGCTTCCCGTGACAGAGGTGGCATTTTCTTGGGATCCCCTCAGTGTATGAGCTTTGCATGTATAGCTGGCCCTTAGTAAACGTGCATTGGCTGACAATCCTGCGTCCTCTGTTTCAACCCATTGGCTGGGGTCCATTTGAGCTCTTGGAGTTGCCTGGGTGAGCCGTGTCTCTTGTCTTCTCTTTCTCCTCTTAGACCTTCATTCCCCGGCATCTCCTCCTCCCACTTTTCCACTTTCCACCTTGCATCTCTGTGCACGTGCGTGTGCATGTGAAGGGCGTCTGTCCCCATCATCGCCTCTTAGACCTGTCGGATTCGCCCTCTCTCTGAATTGCCCAGTGTGGAGCTGACTGCAGCAACCCCTCAGATGTTTCCTCACAAACCTCTCCACACAGGGTAGACATCCTCTGACCTCTGTGATAGGGTAACCAGCCATCTCAGGTGGCCTGCGAGTGAGGGGTTCCCTGGGATGTGGGATTTTCAGTTCTAAAATCGGGACCATCCTGGTTTGCGGGGCAGTTGGTAACTCTATCTGTAGAAATTCCCTGGGCCTGCCTTTTCCACATGGGCAATCCTGAAACAAAATTTCTGTGTCTTTAGTGTCCCCAGAATCCTGTCAGGTGACTGAGGTGGAACTCAAATAGTGGTTTGCGTGTTTGTTTTTTAAAATTTATCTATTGATCCTAGAGAGAGAAAGGGAGAGAGGGGGGGAAGGAGGTAGAAAGAGAGAGAGAGAGATATCGACCTGTTTTTCCACCCATCCATGCATTCATCGTTTGATCCTTGTAGTGCCCTGACCGGGGATTGAACCCACAACCTTGGCTTAACGGGGTGGTGCTCTAACCAACTGAGCTACCCAGCAAGGGTGGTAGTTGTGTTCTTAAAAGGCTCCCTAAGTACTTCTAATGAACACCAAAGTCTGAGAAATTACCACCAAAGCAAAGCATGATGCAGGGTATTGGTTTTTTATTTTTTAATTCATCCATTAAGCTTTCCACCCAGGATACTCAGTCCCTGCCCAAGCCCACGGTGTGTTCTGGGTCACAGTTAAAGTGCCAGGCAGGTCTTACAAGTCATTATATCCGTGCCCACTCCAGGCTGTGGAGGCTTCAGGAGTGTATCTCTGTGGCTCCCGCAGGCCCCTCTTGAGCTGACACAGTCCTGTTGTCCCCCTAGCTTCTGGGTGTTTATCCCTTTTGGCTCTGCTACCTTATTTTCTCCAGAAGTTTCTGGTTTCCAGCATGCCCTGGCCTTAGATGACCAGAGGTGGGCTGCCCTGCCTCATGGCCTGTGGTTCCCCTCTAGGAAGCTCTCCACCTTCAACCTGTACATGGAGAGCCATGGCTACAACGTGGAGCAGATTTGGAGAGATATCGAGGACGTCATCATCAAGACGATCATCTCGGCCTACCCCATCATCAAGCACAATTACCACACCTGCTTCCCCAACCACACACTCAACAGCGCCTGCTTTGAAATCCTGGGCTTTGACATTTTGTTGGACCGCAAACTCAAGCCCTGGCTATTGGAGGTAGGGAGGTTGGGGTGAGGGGTGAAAATTGGCCCGTTTTGGGGGTCAGCTAGCTTCAGGCTCATTTCTCTGCCCTCCCAGCTCCGCTAGATCTGTTTAATAAACTTAGTCACGCCGGACCTACCCACAGTGCTTGCTGCCTGGGGCTTCTCCTTTAGCTGGGAAGTGGCCACCAGAGGGGGGTAGACGGCCGGGAATTGGAGGATTCCTGGCGCCTTTCCGAGGTCCACCCAGACTTGGAAACGCTGATCTCAGGCACAGAGTGATTCTCAAGACAGCTCTGCCTTTTGTAGCAGAGTCGTCTCTCAGGAAGGGGGTGTTCTTCATCAAAGCTGGGTTGATGATGTTGCAGATCAGATGGGAGCTGTCAGGCCTGGCTCTTGGGGGCCTGGATCACTAGGTTCCAAGCACTAACAGAGAATGGCCTGGTGTCTCTGGCCACAGGAATGGGTGGGGAGCCACTCAGTGAGTTTCCTGCCTCCCCTAGACCCACAGGGTGGTGGTGGGAGGAGGAAGAGAAGCTTCTGGGTGGCTGTCTCTTTTCCAGATTGGACTCGTGCTTGGCAGCCCTCTCAAGTGGCTAGTTATTCAGTATGCACACAGGGAGGTGGGGTGTAGGGGTGGGGGTGCAAGTCAGAGGTGCTAGTGCCAGCTGCCAATGAACAAGAGTCAGCCTTCAGAGTGGGAAACCCAGAATTATAGATCAGAGTCCTGGGGCCTTACCTTTCCTTCATTCCCAGTCCTTGTTCCCAGGTGTGGGTGGGAAGGAGCTGCAGAAACTGCTAGGAATCTTCAAATGTCACATAGAGCCTCTGAACAATATGGACGTTTCTGTGAGCAGGAATGAGTCTTCTCCCTTCTCCCACCTGTTTCTCCGGCATCCCCAGTCAGGATCTTGAATGCATCCCTCCTTTCTATTCCCTAGCTCCCCACCTGGCCCTTTGGCTGCCCCTTCCATCTGCTCCATGCATGTGAGAGGACACTGCACACCAGATGGAGGGGAAACCAAAGACGGGGCACTCCCTGATGCCTCTCAAGAACAAAGGACTAAAGTAAAAGCTAGTTAAACTAGAGGGGTTCCATTTCCCCCTTGCCTCACTGTGGCTCGAGTCCAGACCTTCTCTCCCTTTCCCTCCCACTCATCTTGGTAGCCAGAGCCCCAAAGTGGGCTTTGGTCACTCTGTGGAGGTGGCATTTTGGCCTCACTCTCTGCTTTCACTCTGGACAGCCCAGTTTCCAGCTGCCGTCTTGCCCTCACAGGTAAACCACTCTCCGAGCTTCTCCACCGACTCCTGCTTGGATAAAGAGGTGAAGGACAGTTTGCTGTATGACACCTTGGTTCTGATCAACCTGGGAAGCTGTGACAAAAAGAAAGTCTTGGAGGAGGAGAGGCAACGGGGGCGGTTCCTGCAGCAATGTCGTTCTCGGGAAACCAGGTATAGTAGCACTCCTCACCCCCCAGGGACCCCATTTTTTATGAGTTCCCTATTCCCAATAAGACTGGCCTGTCCTGGTCCAAGTTATGGTCCAACAGCCTACTAGTTATGTGACCTTTTTGTTATTTCTCTGACCCTCAGTGTTCTTTCTGTGAAATGGAGCTAATGATACATAAAGTTGTAGGGGGAATTAAATGAGATAATATGTATAAAAGGCTTATAATAATGCCTGGCACTGTAATTTATATTTGAAACAATTAAAAATCTTGCCTGGAGTTCATGGGGAGGGGAGTCAGCTCTTACAAATAATTACCCTACTTGGAAAATTAATTTATATTTGTGGAATGTGGCAGTTTGAATAGTTTTACTGTGAATATTCCTTTGTCTCTATTTTAGGAGATTTAAGTTATAGACATAACTATATATAATGAATATAATACCATATGAAAGCTCAGGGATTACCAATACAAAAAGTAAAACCATTCCTTTATTTTTGCCAAAAGAAAGATTTATCTGTCCTACCCCATGTTACTGTGTTGGCCGGAGCTAAGGTGTCCCTGCTCCCTGCCTTTCAGAGGCCTTTCTCTGCAGAGTGAGCCTAATGTCAGAAGACTGAGATGCCTGTGTTGATTTTCAGACCCCACTGTGGCCCCTGCCCTCCTCATGTGCAGAGCCAGCCCTGTCTTTCGAGATTAAACTTCTGGAACCAGGGCAATAGCATCTATTTGGATGGCACTGTGTTTCTCGGAGCACTTTCACGTGTACTGTCTTCGCTGTAAGGAGGGGTGTTATATGGTCCTGTTTGAGGAGCTAAGGAGACAAACACTCTGGAAGGGGAACTGACTTGCATTAGGTCGCCTCCCTGGTAAATGGCAAATCTGGGCCCAGAGCCCAAGGGGTGTGTGGCCTGGGATTCCAGGGCGCCTTTTGCTGTGCCAGCTTTCTCAAAACTGCTTGAGGAGGAGGCAGCAGCTCGCCTAAATCACTCTCCTTGTTACACTGGTGCCGGATAGCTCAGTGGCTCTTGGCTTCCCTGCTGTAGAAGGGGCTTATCATTCCTCCCTCCCTGACCTCCACCTCCCCAGGGGGCTGTAAGGAAGGATGAGATCATCACAGCTCATAAAAGCGCATCCAGCTTATCCAAGAAGTCCTCGAACTTAGCAAAACACAAGCCCTCGTTCCCCAGGGTAGTAGGGGCTGTGATTGGGAAGGTGGCGACAGCCTGCCTTGTCAGAACTAAGCCAAGAGGGAAATGGGTTTTACTCGCAACAGGAGAGAATTTGAGGAACTGTCGGAAAGGACTGTTCTAACCAGCGCTTAGCACATTATGACACCGGCTGTCCAGGGAGGGCTGGAATCCTCTCAGGGCAACATTTAGGAAATACCGATTGACCGCTGTTGTGTGCAAGGCCTCCGCCTGGCCCTAGATGACATCCGGCTTGGTCATGTTCCTTCCAAGCATCGGGCCTTGTCCCAACGCAGCCCTGTGTCCTGCTTGCCAACAGGATCGAGGAAGTCAAGGGTTTCCAGGCCTTGCGTTTGGAGAAAACGGAGAAGTATGAGGAGGGGAACTGCGGGGGGTTCCGCCTAATTTATCCCAGACTGAACTCAGAGAAGTATGAGAAGTTTTTCCAGGACAACAACTCCCTCTTCCAGAATACTATTGCCTCCAGGGCCCGGGAGCTGTATGCCCGGTAAGACGGTGCCCTTGAGGTGGGCCAGGTGTTGGGGGGATTGTGCTAGACTTGCTGAGTGACTGGCCTGGGACTGGGCGGGGGGGGTCTGTGAGCTTTAGTCTCCAACCATGAAGTTGCCAGGGAGACATTTGCTTTAGTCTCACAAGGACCAGGAATTGTAAGATTGCCTGGTGTGGGGTGCTGTTAAGTAGATATGAAGCTGTTTCTAGAAACTCACCCCTGAGACAGAATGCCCAGCCCCTCAGACCTGCCTCCTGGATTCATGCAGGTATATAATCTAAGATCTGGAAGGGACTCATCCCATCTAGTCCAGTCCCCACCCACCACCTCATTCTATGGGAGGGAGGGCAGAGCAGACAAGACATCATATAGAGATAATAACAGAAGAGGGACTACAGTCCCTGTCTCCTGACTTGTGTGACTGTTATTTCCATTACATTATTGGCCAGGGGCCCAGGATATGAAGTGGTCCGGTGTGGGAGCCCTTGACTTTGGCCTCCTGCCCAGACCCTCTTTTCAGCACCTGCCATGTATGGGATCTGTCCTGCTGATGAGATGGGAGGTGGAGAGAGAGAGAGGTGGTGGAGTGGGGTGGTGTCCCCTTCCTGCACGTCTCTTCTGGATCTATTCCTCAGGTTGGGAATGGTGTGGTTGGAGGGGTGACTCTACTCCACCTCCTGTTCTGTGACCTTCAGTCATTTGTGCAGACTGGACACATGCTGGGGAGGAAATGTGGAGCTTTCTGCTCTTTGCAGAGAATGCCCTCATTCGAAGCTCATCCCTAACCTACATGACACTCTCTGTTCCTCAATGGGCAGGCAACTGATCCAGGAGCTGAGACTAAAACAGGAGAAAAAATCCTTCCACATGAAAGAGAAGAAGGTAGAGATGCAGGGGGAGTCGGCAGGAGAGCAAACGAGAGGCAAGGGCACGAAGAGCTGGCGACAGACACAACAGCAGAAATACAAGGCCGCCACCAGCCGTGCCCCCAGACAAGTAAACCCGGATGGGAGGGAAGCGCCTGTGCCCAGCACCCTTCCCCGGCTGGGGCCAATTCGTGGGGGGTTGCCGAGGAGACCGCTACTCAGAGCCCAGACACACTGAAGGAATGGGGCTGTATGGGGGGCTGGGCCACAGGAGGGGGAGCCTGGAAGTCACCAGGAGCCCAGCGGCCTTCAGAGGATCCCTGTGTCCAGGCGCAGAGGACGCTCACTGGTCTGTCCTTCTTGCACCCTTCAGTAGGAGTGAGCAGCTGGGAGGGTGAGCCCATCCCCATGGAGGGAGCAGGCTCCAGGACTATGTGAATCCATTATGTATCTCCAATTCCAGTTTGGGTTGTAACACTCCCTCCTGGGAGGCCAGGGCAGGGCTGAGAAAGGAGGCCACAGGGAAGAGCCTCCAGTAGGCAGGACCCTCAGAACACTACATGGGGTGACTGACCACAGCTGGGTCCTTCCAGCCGGTTCTCTGCTCCAAGTGTGGGCCAGCCTCCCACTGTGGGCCACAGTTGTCCTGTGATCTGAACCTCTGGATCCCTCCTTCTCTGCCTAGCTCTCACTATAGGCTCAGTGGAGAGATTCGGTTGACTTTTCAGTCCATCTCCTTCTCAAATACTCATCTGAAGAACAGGATTAGAGCAGGTTGTGTTTTTGTTTTTGTTTTTCCCATAATTTTGCTGGGGTTATAGGCCCTTTGAGTATTTGATAGAAGTTATGGAATCTCTTGCCATAAAGTATACAAAGATAGAGTTTTAAAGCTGCAGTTTTAAGTGGCTCAAAGACCCCATGAAACCATCCATGAGCTCTCTAGGAGTCCCTGAACTCCAGGTCAAGAGCCCCAGATTAGAGAGACTTTGATACCGATTCCTTTCCTTCTCCCCCATATCTCCTTTGCACCTACTCTTGGGTGCAGATGAATCTGGGAGTGGACAGAGCTGGGTTCCCACGAGCTGTGTTTTTGGTTTCCTCCTTTCCAATCCCTCCAGCCATTGACATTAGTGTCCTGCACACTTGACATGCCCTTGAATGTCAGAGAGGCAAAGAAAAATGAGACAGAGATCAGCCTCGAGCAGGAGGCCCTCAAGATGAGCGATGGCTTTGCTCCCCCTAAGCCTATGTCTGCGAGACGTTACAGCTCTGTACCCAACCTGAGGGATTCAAGCTTGTTCAGCTGCTCTGACCTGGAGCTCAGTGAGCCCATCTCCAGACTCAAGGAAGCCAAGTCTGCCTCTGCAGTGAACATGCTCACCGGCACTGTGGTAAGTAGAGCAGTCTACCTCCCAGAGGGCAGAGCTCAGAAGGCGGTGGGTGGTGGGAGTCTGGCTTTCTGGTCCTTTCTGTTCCCCTGACTTCCTATTGGCCCTTGGAGTAAGTCACTTAACCTCCCTGGGCCTTGATTTCTCCATTTGTGAAGCCTAAGATGTGGAATGGTGTAACTACTAGTAGAGACCTATGTTTTTAGGGCTTTTAGAAAGGCTGTCCTATGCATCCCCTCTTTTTAGGCCGGCTACCTCCTAGGGTTGCTGTAACAAAGTACCACAAACTTGGTGGCTTAAAACACCAATTTATTCTCTCAAGTTCTGAAGGCTAGAAGTCTGAAAACAAGGTGTCAGCAGGGCCATCCTCCTCCTGAATGCTCTTCAGGAAGGATCCCTCCTTGTTTCTTGCTAGATGCTAGTGGTTGCTGGCAATCCTTGACATTCCTTGGCTTGTGACAGCATAACTCCAGTCTCTGCCTCTGTCGTCACATAGTCTTTTCCCCTTTGTTTCTCCTCTGTACCTTTTCACATGGCTTTCTTATAAGGATACAAATCATTAGATTTAGGGCTCACCCTAATCCACTATGACCTTATTTGAATTTGACTAATTATGCCAGCAAATGCCCTTTTTTCCAAATAAGATCACATTCTAAGGTTGTAGGTGTACATGAATGGGGGGGGGGGCACTATTAAACCTAGTACACCACCTAAACAGTGTTTCTCAAATGCCATTAATGTATGGACACTTTTTTTTTTTTAAATGTGTCTTTATTGATTTCAGAGAGAGGAAGGGAGAGAGAGAGTTGAAACATCAATGATGAGAGAGTCATTGATCGGCTGTCTCCTGCACACCCCCTACTGTGGACAGAGCCCACAAGCCAGGCATGTGCCCTGACAGGGAATTGAACCTCAATCTCCTGGATCATAGGTTGATGCTCAACTGCTGAGCCATGCTGGCTGGGCAATGTATGGACACATTTTAAAGGAAAGAAAACCCTTTCAGTTTCCCATTGTAGACTTAAATTATTTTTATAAATATATACAAGCATAAAACCAAATACAAAATCTTTATGATTTTAACTCCTATGCAACTATAAAGCCAAAACAAAACAAACAAGGCCAATAAAATTCACATAAAAAATATTAATTTAATGTGACAGTTAATTTTCTATATTTGCAGAAACTAAGTTGCCACATGAATGCGGTCCTGATAGTTCTAGCACAGGTTCTTTAGTGTTCATCCTAGTTAGGCCCACCAAAGGTTATGTGATGACTCTACTGTAACTACTGGAAAATTTTCAGCATTGTTGGGCCTTTACTTGGTCCAAGTGCAGTATAGATCAATGCGATGTTTTTTAAATTTCTAACCAGAGCCCATAATAGAGATCCATTTTATTTTGCAGTCCATCACATACATACACAACTAGGAAAAAGTCTAAAACAATGCTTAGTCATACTAAATATGGTGACTCATTTGATATTTTCTATTCTGTGCTACTCTGTTTTACTCTTTAAAAAAAAATCAGTTACAACTCACTAAATTAATTTCCTGACCTGCTGATAGGTTTATGACTCAGAGTTGGATAAACACCTTTAAGAGAGTATACTTTGGAGCTTCATGGCATTGGATTTGGCAATGATTTCTTGGGTACGACACCAAAAGCAATGGCAACAGAAGTAAAAATAAATGGGGAGTACATCAAACTTAATCAGCAGAGTGAAAAGGCAACCAGTGGAATGGGAGAAATATTTGCAAACCATTTATCTGATAAGGGGTTAGTATCCATAATATATAAAGAAGTCTTACAACTGAACAACAACAAAAATAACACAATTTAAATGAGCAAAGGACTTAAATAGACAATTTTCCAAAGTGAAATAAGTCAGTCACGAAAAGGCAAATAGTGTATAATTCCACTTACATCAGGTATCTAGAGTAGTCAAACTCTTAGAAACAGAAAGTAGAATGGAGGTTGCCAGGGGCTGCAGGGAGGTGGAAAAGGGAGTTGTTTAATGGATATAGAATTTCAATTTTGCAAGTTTAAAAGGTTCTAGGGTTCTGTTGCACAACAATGTATATATAGTTAACACTGCTGTACTGTACAGTGAAAAATGGCTAAGACAATAAATTTTATGTTACGTTTTCTTTTAACCACACATGTACACGAAAAAGTAGAGAGTATGCTTTGGGGATCTGGCTGCCACTGTTTGGATCCTGGAGTCTCCTTTTATTATATATATGACTTCTGTCTAGTCATTTTAATCTCCATAAGCCTCAGATTCCCTATCTAAAAAAAACTGAGTATCTACCAGTGGATTACTGTGAGGATTAAATGAAAGGATTCATGAAAATGCTTAGAGCGGTGTCTGACACACAGGACTCAGTAAACATTAGCTATTATTTTAATAGCACTGTTGCTTCTTAAGACCTCCTTTGCTCTTTTCTCATGAAACTAAGAGTTAAAGCTGTACTACTTAACTATAAAGAGATTTAAGAAAATCAGGCAACAACATTTTTTTTCCTTATGCTCACCTCCCATTCTCCTATCTACCATCTTTCGTTAGTATGTTTCCTTCCAAAGTAGAGATTTTAAAAATGCAAGCATTTATAATTAATTTAAATTTGATTGGGTTATTTATCTCATTCTATGTCCTATTTTTTTCTTCTCGAACCCCATTTTTTCTCTGGGCCTTTTTTAGTTTTCTGGGCAGAAAGCTGGGGTTTTAGTCACCCTGTTTTGCAGCATACTTACTGTGACCATAACTATTTCCAGAGCCAAGTAGCAGGAAGTCAAGAGAGAGAGTGTTAGGGAATCATTCCACCCTCCTGGGATCACACTCCTTCACTTGGAGAGGAAGTTTCCCTTCCCTCAGAACTCTAGGTTCCTTAGGCCCTGCTGTTGATTCTGCTGCTATCACTGCATAAATTCATAACATTATCACCTTAAGATTTCATGGAGATGAGGGCTCAAGAGAATGGAGAAAAGTAAACCTTTGAGCCAAAACTCTAGGGCTACTTATTATTGTCTGATTTCATTTCTCTTTAGCCTGAAAAACTCCCTTTAGTATTTATTGTAATGCACCCCTATCAGCTGGTGATAAATTTTCTGGTTTTGTTTACCTGACAATGCCTTTATTTAGCTTTCATTTTGAAGGATCTGTTTGTTGGACCTTGAATTCTGGGTTGACATTATTTTTCTTGCAGCACTTTAAAATTGTTGTTACACTGTCTTCTGGTTTTCTTTCCTTTTAAAAAATTCCATAGCATTGTCCCCTATATGCATTGTATCATTTTTTTGATGGCTGTTCTCTTTATCTCTGGATTATGATGTGTCTGAGTGTAGTTTTATTTGTATTTATCCTATTTAGGATCCTTGAGCTTATTTGTTTTGTAAATTGATGACTTTCACCAAGTTTGAGAAGTTTATGGCTGTTATTTCTTCAAATATTTTTTCTGCCTTATTTTGTTCTTTTCTGTTTTACTTTCTGTTTCTATGACTACTTTAGGTACTTTATATATGTAGAACTATAGCATATTTCTGTGTTGGGCTTATTTCACTTAGCATAATGTTTTCAAAGTTCACTCGTGTTGTATTATGTATCAGAATTTTCTTCTTTTTTAAGGCTGAATAATATTCCATTATATGTATAGACCACATTCTATCTATCCATTCATCTTTTGGTAGATTTGGCTACTTTTGGCTACTGTGAATGATGTTTCTGGGAACACTTGTGTACATAGTTTTTAAAAAGGGGCTATCTAATAACTTATTTTGAATGTATATCTAGGAATAGAATTGCTGGTCACAGGGTATTTTTAATCTTATTTCACCAAGTATTTCTAGATGGTTCACCAGAATGGCTGTCTACATTCTCATCAGCAATGCATGAGAGTCCCTATACCCCTGCATTCCACTAACAGCTTTCTAATTTTTGCCAGTCTAATAACTGTGAAATATCTATTTCTCTGATTACCAATCTCTAGTGTTTAAAATCTCTGTCATATTTAAAGACCTCCAGAGGAAGCTCTGTGGACATCCCCCACCATCTTTCACCCTAGTGTTTAACCAATTCCTGGTTAGGAAACTATTCTAATCTAATCTTTCTTCCTGCTGATGAAATCTTAATCTGTTTAAATCAAGAATGGCATAGCAAATAGCCCTTTGCTTTCCACGGTCTCATTTTGGATTGTTTTCTCTTCCAGCTCTTAACTTCAGCAGAAACTTCAGAATCCAGCACCCAAGTCTCAGACTCTCCTGAGTCTCTGCTGAGCATGACAGCCAGCTCTGAATGCAGTAGCCCAGAGACAGACGCGGTGGTCTCCTTTAAATGCAAGCAGCAGCCGATCCCCCAGCACCTCCTCCAGGAGAAAATATCAAAAATTTATCTGCCTACAAGATCCCAGCGCTTTTTGGGGAATCTGAACCCACGCTGGACTTTGCTAAAGAATAACATGAAGAAGCAGCATCGGATGTCAGAGCTGTTCACCAACGTTCAGCTGAGGAAGAAGCTCTCCTTGTTCCCAGCTGCCTACAACTCGAAGCTGGTGCTAAGCAACCAGTCACGTGAGTGCCAGCCTGTACAGGGATGTGCCAAGGGCTTAGGGGATGGAGAAACCAACAGAACCAGTCCTAATCTTTAGGGAGCTCCCAGTCTGAAGGGGGGTGCATCGCCTGTCCTTAGGGTGACCCAGTCTGATGGTGGAGACACAGTCTCTGTCCTTAGGTAGTCTCCAGTCTTTCTTATTGGGAATATAAGAAAGATAAAATTAGAATGCTCTAAGTACCATCTTCAACATTCGCAGGTTCTCATTCAGTTGAGGCCCACTCAGCTGTCTGTACCAGTTGGGGGCATTAAGTATGAAAAAACAGGGAAGAGAAACTGTTTGGAAAAAAGGAACAATATGGATGATTCTGATTCGGGATCAGATTTAGGCCAGGAGACGCTAGAGGGAGGTGGCCTTTGCCAGGAATTTGTGCTGAGTCCAGCAGCACAAATCGATAATGCCAGTGACTTTGCCTTTCCAGAAAATGCTTTCCTGCCCCAGGATTGCTACTTCCGCAGCCGAAGCTCTGATGGGAAGAGGCCGCTGGATGTGTCCTCCCTCCTCTTCTTGAAGGACTCTCATAGCAGTGATGTCTCTCTGAGCGATCTACTGGTGGTCGCCACCTCAGCCCGACTGGGTCCGAGGCCCGGCAAAAGCCGTCCAGGTGCTGTGAGGGGCCCGTGTATAAAAGATCGGGAAGCATGCAGTCGCTGCCTGATCTCCGGCCAAAAAGGATGCGAGAGAAAATAGGTGGGCGCACTCATATTGCCTTAATGTGCCTGTCCATTGGCAAGCACTACATATGTTTATTTCTGGAGTGAATGTTGGGTAACTAGGTGGATGGATGGATTGGTAAAGCCATAAAGGTAAGTAGGCAATTAAGACTAACCTTAGTCAAAACGTAACCCCCCTTGCAATGTCTATTTCTGCTATGAATGATCCATCCCTACTGCTTTAAGTGCACTTTGCCTTGTCTTCCACTTATGGCTAATACTGAGACCGTCATTAATGCCAGTCCCACACATAGAACCATGTCAACTGTGAGGGGTCGATTTCTACAACTTTCATGCTGTGCCAACCTGGCTAGGTCCAGGCCACCTGCTCCCAAATCACACAGAGAAAGGGAGGAGATAATTATATTAAAAGGGTGTGATAAAATGCTTCCTGCATTGACCAATGAATTTGGCTCTGAACCTCTTAGCAGAAAAGGCCAAACAGCATTCTGTCTTGGTCTTTTTTTGTTTTTCGTCTCCCCAATCAGAATAGATATTCCCTGGGGACGTGGACTATGTCTGTATCATCAGACTGGAGTCTCTCTGAGGGCAAGGGCCTTGTTCCCCACTCCCGCAGGCAGGGTGCTCCCCAAAGATTAGGACTGGTTCTTGGTTATTCCGTCCCCTAAATGCTTGGCGCACATCCCTGTACAGGCTGGCACTCTCGTGACCACCTTACTCAGCAGCAGGCTTGGGCTGTAGGCAGCTGGGAACAAGGAGCGCCGCTCCCTCGGCTGAACCTCGGTGAAGAGCTCTGACAGCCGCTGCTTTTCACATCACCCTTCAGCACAGTCCAGCATGGGATCGGATTCCCCAAGGAGCTCTGCGATTTTGTAGGCAGAGAAGCTTTTGATATTTTCTCTTAAATGAGTAAAGATAAGTTTACTCATCTAGTAAATAGTTTGTTCTTTGGGACAGACTTCTTTCTCTAGCTCTAATTTTTTTCTTTTTAAAATATATCTTTATTGATTTCAGAGAGAGGAAGGGAGAGAGAGAGAGAAACATTAATGATGAGAGAGTTGTCATTGATCAGCTGCCTCCTGCAGGGCCCCCCCCACCGATTGAGCCTGTAACCTGGGTGTGTTCCCTGACTGGGAATCCAACCTCGATCTTCTGGATCCTAGGTCAATGCTCAACTGCTGAGCCACACCCGGCCAGGCTCTCTGGCTCTAATTGCTAAGAGCACCTTGTCATGCGGTCATTTGTCTATTGTAGACATTTACTCCCATAGTGGTTGATGGCTGAAGGCACTGACATGTTTTTTATAAATATTAATGATGGTAATAGTTACCCTTTTTTGTAGCCTACTATGTGCCAGTACTTTTCTAAATATATATTTAACTTAATTCTGATCACAGTTTAGAAAGGAAAAAAACAGGATCAAAGAGCATAAGGCTTAACATTCAGGAGGTCCCACAGCTTTTATGTGGCAGAGCAAGAATTTAAGTCAAATGTTTCTGATCTCAAACCTCAAGCTCTTAAAGCCACACTATTTTTCTCTCAAATGGATGAGAATTTTTTTAAAACTGATTTTAGAGAGAGGGGGAGGGAGAGAGAGAGAGAGAAACATCTGTCGGCTGCCTCCCGCAACCCCCCCCCCCCC